CACAACGTAACTGGGTGACTATAAAGGTGCACTACAGGTATCTCCGAAAGTATTTATTGTTTTATGCGGATCGAGACTGGGATTTGTCACTCCGTGTAAACGGAGAGGTATCTCTGGGCCCACTCGGTAGGACATCATCATATGCGCAATGTGACCAAGGAGTTGATCACGGGATGATGTGTTACGGAACGAGTAAAGTGACTTGCCGGTAACGAGATTGAACAAGGTATCGGTATACCGACGATCGAATCTCGGGCAAGTAACATACCGCTAGACAAAGGGAATTGTATACGGGATCGATAGAGTCCTTGACATCGTGGTTCATCCGATGAGATCATCGTGGAACATGTGGGAGCCAACATGGGTATCCAGATCCCGCTGTTGGTTATTGACCGGAGAACGTCTCGGTCATGTCTGCATGTCTCCCGAACCCGTAGGGTCTACACACTTAAGGTTCGATGACGCTAGGGTTATAAAGGAAGCTTGTATGTGGTTACCGAATGTTGTTCGGAGTCCCGGATGAGATCCCGGACGTCACGAGGAGTTCCGGAATGGTCCGGAGGTAAAGATTTATATATAGGAAGTCCTGTTTCGGCCATCGGGACAAGTTTCGGGGTCATCGGTATTGTACCGGGACCACCGGAAGGGTCCCGGGGGCCCACCGGGTGGGGCCACCTGCCCCGGGGGGCCACATGGGCTGTAGGGGGTGCGCATTGGCCTACATGGGCCAAGGGCACCAGCCCCAAGAGGCCCATGCGCAAGGAAACTTGGGGAGGGAAGAGTCCTCAAAGGGGAAGGCACCTCAGAGGTGCCTTGGGGAGGATGGACTCCTCCCCATCCTTAGCCGCACCCCTTCCTTGGAGGAGGGGGCAAGGCTGCGCCCTCCCCCTCTCCCTTGGCCCTATATATAGTGGGGAAAAGGAGGAGCAATCATACCTAAGGCTTTTGGTTGCCTCCCTCTCCCTCCCGTGACACATCTCCTCTCCCGTAGGTGCTCGGTGAAGCCCTGCAGGATTGCCACGCTCCTCCACCACCACCACGCCGTTGTGCTGCTGTTGGAAGGAGTCTTCCTCAACCTCTCCCTCTCTCCTTGCTGGATCAAGGCGTGGGAGACGTCACCGGGCTGTACGTGTGTTGAACGCGGAGGTGCCGTCCGTTCGGCACTTGATCATCGGTGATCTGAATCACGACGAGTATGACTCCATCAACCCCGTTCACTTGAACGCTTCCGCTTACCGATCTACAAGGGTATGTAGATGCAAACTCTCTCTCCTTTCTACTCGTTGCTGGTCTCTCCATAGATAGATCTTGGTGATACGTAAGAAATTTTTTTGAATTTCTGCTACGTTCCCAACACATGTGACCCAAAATTTTCGCACCAGGTGGGCATGCCCATGCTTGGTTTGGACGAATTCAGATACCGGATGCATGTTGCGTCATGTCCGGCCATTTATTGGTCTTTTTTCACCGAGAAAACTTCAGAAAATAAAAAATTTATCGAAAATTCAAACAAGTGGATATGGTGCCTTGAATTGGTCATACAAGGTCATGAAAAATTTGGATTCATTTGAAAAATCTGGAAAAAAATTGGGGTGATTTCACGGATGTTGAGAAAAAAGTTCACAACTAAAAAATTCATGAATTTGGAAAAAGTTTGCGGGCCTAAAGAAACTTCATGAAAAGTGGAAAATGTTCCCAAAAATTGAAAAAAAGTTCATGATCTAAAAGTTCATGCATTTGAAAAAGGTTCATGGCTAAAAATTTTCATGATTTTGGGAAAAAGTTTGTTGATCTGAAAAAAGTTCATTAATTTGGAAAATAGTTGATGAAAAGTTGAAAAAGTTCAAGAAATTTGAAACAGTTCAGCAATATGGATGTTTTTAGGAAATTTAAAAAAAGTGAAAAAAATCAAAAAACCACTAATTTGAAATAAGTTCACAAGCTCAAAGTCATGCATTTGGAAAAAAGTTCACGACGAATCAGGTCGCAAATTTGAAAAAATTGGGGCAAAAAATGTTCATAGATTTTAAAAAAAAGTTCATGAAATTTAGAAAAAGTTTAAAAATCTTGAAAAAGTTCACGAATTTGAAAGAAAAGTTCATGAACTAAAAGTTCATGCATTCAAATAAGAGGTTACCACTAAAAATTCACGAATTTTGAAAAAAAAATCATGGATATGAAAATTTTCACAATTTTTTTGCCAATTAGGAAAAAAAAGAGAAAGAGAAACGAACAAAAAATTGCGAATCAGGAAAAGAAAATTACAAAAGGAAAAAGAAAGAAAGAGAAAACAAAAAAACCTGAAGAAAAAAATTGCCAATCAGAAAAAAAGAAAACTAAAAACCAGGCTGATATTGCACTTCTTTTTTTATCATTATATTTACTACACAAAAAGCAAAAAAGGAAGGAAGTGGGCATAGCGTGTAAGTTGGACATGTTTGTTAGGTCCCGCTTGAAGGAAACTACACGAAGGGAGTTCGAGTCCCACAACTCGCATAAGTTTTTTGAAATTTAAAAGAACAAAAATAGTAAGTGAACCGAGCCCATGAAGGAGAGGGGTTGTGCGCCGGGTGGAAAAGGGCCGGCCCAGTCGGGTAGCCTGTGCTTGCTTGTGTTTATTTGACCCTACTCCTACAATGTACGGCCTATTACAAAAGTAGATACGATATGTCAAAGATCTATATTACCCTTCAGAGTGGTTTGTACCAAAGCAGGACTCATCAATCAGAGTCTCTCATCCTAATCACAGAAGGCCATCCAACATGTAATATCAAC